TTGATGAAATTGTGCATTTTGTCACAGGTCACATGAATCAGTAATGGTAAATGACTAAAAAAACATTATTTGGAAATGAATTAATATATATTTTGATATTGATGATGTAATTATTTTGCAGGTTGAAACTTTGTTAGTATAATAAACCATGTTACAACACATTGTTTGAATAGTCCCAGAACCAGAGTTTACAGTACATTAAGTACTATATATATGGTTTTGAAACTTATGAATTACTAGCCTCAGTTATCAAATGTCTGTTTCTAGTTATAATTTGTACAGTACAGAGAAGTATGTGAATGATGGTGATATTTTCCATTTATGTACAGTGCCTAGTGAGCAAAAAATCTGTGCAACTGAAATTGTAACAGTAATTCTTGTCACAAAAAAGGAACTTAACAGTTACACGGCATTTCCATTTCATCAGTTATCTTACCTAATATTAATTTATTTTTGCTCTGTGTAAAATCACATGATAAATATTGTGTTCAAATATAAAAAAGTGATTTTTTGAAGTAATATAATAACCACTTTTAATTTCAAGCTTAAAATAAAAAAACACATTTTAGTTTCCATAATTATTTTTATTTAACATAAGTATCACAGATATTTTTGTATATTTACATATTTAAAAAAAATATTAGTTAACTGTTTATTAGAAAATAACAATACAGTATAGATATGTACACAACTCTCACAGCCTTTGTGACATATATCTATTCTTGGTGCTGAATATGCCAGAAAATAGGCACATGTATAACCATTAATATAAAAATAACATGCAACAGTCATACTCCAAATGTATTTAAAACATATAATCACAATTGGCCACCAATTTCATTAAATAAAGTAACTTAACTATGTAGTTCAACACTGTCAACTACATGAATGCATCAGGATGGAGGTAGCATATCCGGTCTAAACTTGCGATAAAGGTATTGCTTTATCTCTGAGGCCTTTTCAAATGTCATGCACCCTTTCTCTTGGATAGTTGCAACAGAACTGTGGAAAAGAAAAGAAACAAAATTGAATAGACTAATTTCCTTAGCAACAGAATATCAAAGGATTAAGGGAATTTCAAGTAAAATCAGCTAGAATAGTTGATAGTTCTCACTGAGGTAAAGACTTCAATAGTCTCTCCCTTGCTGCTGCTGAACCATTCAGTTCTTTCCACTGAAAACAAAGACTGTACAACAAGCACAACATATAAATCAACATTTAAACATTCCATTATGATTACTATGCCCAACTTAATGTAATAGCCTTCAACCCTGAGTATCACTCTAATTGAACAATCTCTATGTGCATCAGACAGTATCCAAAAGTTCAATTTCATATACGTTAAAAGCATCTGAATGTTGTGCCCGGTACTCATGTTAAATACTAATATATCAGCTCTTTTGCATTATGTGTACATGCTTATAAATCCTAACACAAAAATGACTTTGCTAGTTATATTTTTTTTAAACATCTAGCTGGTATCCTTTCATATTCATATTTCTAACATTAAATAATTTCATTAATAATAAATATCTTACCTGTTAATAAAGTCGACTATAGTTTTGAAGTTGTATGCCAAATAGATGGCTGATGCATAGCTGATGCGTGGCAAGGATTTGAAAAAATTCAGAATCTGTAAGAGAGCAAAAGCATAAAGCTATTATACAATAAGTATAAAAAATGGTCTTTTTTTTCTCTCTCTTAAAAGCCTTCAATATATAAAAGATGACTATCTACATTACCAACTAATAACTACATTACATTTAAACTTATGTTTACAGTTCTGAATGTCATGTCACTTCCACAATGCCAGAGATAAACATAAGGAAGGAGGTACAGACAAACACAAAAACTATGTATGTATACCTTCTGATGCTGAATTAAGAAAGATGGGACCACCAAAATACTAAACCCTTTTCCCTTCTCTTGTTCTACAAGTTGCCACACTATCTGGGAAGTGTCCTCTGAAAAACAAATATATGCTTGCATTTATCAATCAACACTTGGAATCCTTTATTCACAGATAATTCACACTTCTTCACATCTGATATATCCATTATCAGTGTGGTCTCTTTAAATGGCATCATCTGAATAAGTAAAAGAACTATACTCGCTCCAATCTCAGAAAATATAATAAAACTGGCATCTCATCCAAGACTCTAGAGAACCTCAATCCACATTTTTTTTTTATCTTAATTATTTGAAACTAATAGGTATATTCAAATGTTTCAATTTTTGACACACATTTTTTTGTCATTATTATCATCAGCATCATTATTACTATTATTACTATTATTATTTCATCATTTCATCATTTCATCATCATCATCATCATTATTATTTACTGGTTATGGAAAGAGAGAAATTACATAAATGTTCTGGTTTACTACAATACAAAAGAGTTTAGACATCATGAGCACAGAATAACCATGTTATTGTTAGTGGTTAATACATATTATAGCCATAAAATAAGATAGTGATAAGCCTACTGTTAGACATTAACCTTATGTTCAGTGGCAACATTGTCTTAAGATTCTTTAAGCAACTGGTACAGAAACATTAATAGATATATGATAAAAGATACACCTACACATTGTCCTATTTCATGTACTGAGACTTAGCATCATAGGACATGTTTTTCTTTTTTCATTGCGGAACTGAAAGTAAACATCAACCTCCTCTCAGTAACTAAAGATGGCATAAGTACCTTAATATAAAACAGTCACTTTTTCAAACACTTGACTAACTCACCTTGATTTCTTGAATACAAGACTTTGAAGCGCTTGACATGAGTACAGGCACATGTTATGGTGTCCACGTATTTTGAGCGAGTACTGTGTGCATTGTGAGGAGATTCTCCGGGCTTTAAACGGTCTGATTCTATAATGAGCACAGAACGTTCATAGATGTCTAACATGCCTTGCACCCTCTGTATTAACTTCCCTCTTTGCTGAATGCTTGTAAATGCTGAAAGAAGAAAAAACGGGAGAAAATATTGTAAGAAAATGTACACAGAATGAGGAATTCACATCAAGTATATAGTTTAAATACAGCCACAAGAACATATCAAGGTACATTCTTTTTGAAAAATAGAGCTGCCTGGAAAATACAAACATATTTGTACTACAATTGAAATTTGTATTGAGGTTTGTTTCATTGAAATAATAATAATACAATGAAATATTGAATGAACTTCAGACAGAAGCACTAGCATTCCCCAACACAGGCATATTTGTGTGTGTGCAGAAGTGGATCATGATCTCTGGGAAATAATGAAGTCTGAAATCTTACACAAATTTGTCCTATCTACCCATGATCCATTGTGTAAAAACTTGATAATTCAACTTGGATTCCTACAGTTATAAAGTTAAACTGAATAACCAAAATAAAACAAACACAGAAAGGAATACTTACCCGAATACAATAATCTGGTGACTCCCATTCTCGTTGATGTAACATAATGAGCGTGCGCTAGTTGGGCCACCGATACATTAACTTCTTTATGCAGTCTTATTTTGGACGCAATACTGCCTGCAATACTGATTTCTTGAGAATCCACCAGTAGGAGGGGTGGTACCTGATGAGAGAGATAAAAAGAAAAATAGAAAAAAAAAAATCAAAGGCGCATTAATTTTTTCCAGATGTGACAAGGGTGTTAGGATTATTTTCAACTCTATGAAGTGCTTGAAATATCACACTTGTAGATTACAAATGAGCCAAAATCTAAAACTTACACAATAATTACCATATACCTTTATACATCCTACAAAGAAGAAATAATATATATATATATATATATATATATATATATATATATATATATATATTTATATATATATATATATATATATATATATATATATTATATATATATATATATATACATATATATATAAAAGACCATAACAGCAATCTTTCAATTCACTGGCTACACTTACTGAAGCTTTTGTTCCAACAGAGTTGTTTTCTTCTTTGGGTTTGACATCTGAGTTTTTGAAGTGACTTCCAGATGCTGATAAAGACGAAGAACCTTGCATTCTCACTGTGTTTGATGAGTTTCCTGGTACCTTTTGCATATGCAATGACAATAAAATGTATTTGGCTTGTATATCAATAATTATGAACTTAGCCTAATACTTCTATATGATTCCTATTAAGTCAGCAGTTAATCAGCTGATTATCATATAAAAAATTAGTAACATATTAAGACTTGTTTGAATATCTATGCAGTACCAGAAATATAGAATCAGAAGTACAAGGTTATGGGTACAACTTATAAAACTGTTATCAAAGTCACCATATATTATCAAAGAACATACTTTACTAATATGCTTCAATACTTCCAGTGGGTAGGAAGGAGAAATCATATACAAAAACACAGTAACAAAAATATTTCAGTTCATTTCCTGTACTCACCAAAGTTTTTGTCATGTCAGATCTGTTCATGTCTTTAGGCTTGGCTTCAAAGTTTTTAGAAAGAGATGTCAAGGGTCGCTGCATTTCCATTGGAGAGGAGGAGTCTCGCATTCTTGCCGAGTAATATGAGCTCCCAGCCTCCTGTTCATTTCGTAATGATAACGATGATGATGAAATTGTCCTGGGTTTTACTGGCACTGTAAATTCTTTAGTCTCTTGTTCTTCTTTTAAATCAAAATCAAAGCCCTCTGAGCCCAAGTCAAACGATACGCCCAATGTATCTTCCACTTTAATGGCACTGTTTTCCTTGACTCTTTGCGTGCCCATTGTCTGTTTGTTGGCACTTTCTGCTTGCTTCATTTTCCCCATTACTCGGTCCTTGAGAGGTACTTGCACTCGACTTATTTTCTTGAAGTCATCATCAGGCGAGGAATCAAGTGTTATATTTTCTCTGCTTCGCTTAAACGAAGATGAAATCTTTGTCCTCTCTGCCAACACATCTTCAGTATTGGATGCTTGACCTCTACCTAATTTCATGTTTGCTTTTCCTGATTTTAGTTTATTATGGCTGTCAAGTCCCACTGCTTTGAAATTTCCCTTATTTGGTTCAGCTACTTTTCCAGAGGAATTCGTTCCCTTTCCTGAGAAACTATTGTTCATAATATTGTTCTTTTTGGCTTCAAATGTACTACTGTCACTATTTTTCATCTTTTTGTGCTCTACTTCATGCTCTTCATCACTTGACGACTTGTTCATAATTATTCTTTTTCTTTTGCGCTGCCTTTTATCTGCCTCTTTCTGCCTCTTCTTAGCGTTGGCATGATCATGCATTGCCTAGACAGAAGATATATAGTAGTCATTAGGGTTGTACGAAATAGCATTATCTACAGTAAAACATATATCCCAGCTTCCTTTTTTAAAACCTTTCGCTATCCACTAAAATGACAAAGATTCTTTAATTCATCTCTGTTAAAAGGGAAAAAAAGAGAGAAAAACACAGTTACTTCTTTAAAGCATTACAAAAATACCTTGTATTGAAAAATAAAAAAAATAACTTAATAAAGGGAAGGGCAACACAAAACACCTTGATCATAATTGAATCTTCGGCTAGCATAGTATCTCCCATGTACTCTGTGTCATACTCCACAAAGTTGTTATCCACCACAAAGCTGTCTTCTTCCTCCTGAAAACAAATAAGGTTCTACATATTAAAAACAAATAGATTAATAAATAAATCATTTTACTTTTGATAATATAGATCTCTATCCTTACCTATAGTCTTGCATACTGTACCATTTATCATGATTGGAGACAAGCTGTCAAAAACTGGTGGGCCGTTTTTCCTTTGCCATGAATGTGCCGTTTGTAGTGCCTACTAATAAATCTCATACTGTCTGGCAAGTCTCCTCAGCAAAGCATATTTCATGCAGTCATACCTCCCCTTCCCCCCTTTCAAAAACTTCATTATTTTGTCACCTCTTGGTTTCTTTCTGTTGTCCTTTTATTTTTCATAATTACAAATATATAAATACATAATTTGCTTTTGAATATCAACACATGTGTTTTTCATGCTCTACATACAATTTACTTTGGTAATCTATACACATTTCCAGTAATTCATGAGAGGTAACACTGTAACTTTTATAGCTTTAACATACACTTGTGTATATAGCAGTACTGGATTATGAATATTTTTGGTGGGCAAAAATCAAGACAAACCCATTTTGGTGAAAATTTAAAATTCAAGCATTATTTGAGAGCATGTGCTTCCAAAGGCATTCTTAGACCAATGTTGGTCTGACAACACCTTCGGATGTGCATGCCGTCCTTTATGGTTAGTGGGCAGACAAGCTGGAGGGCTTATAGTTCTACGTCCTTATCAAATATTAATATACCATAATATACATGCCTTTCCAGATGACAAACTTACAATATATACTCACCTCTTCAAAATCTTCACTCTGTTCATCTGTGTCAGAGAGAACAACAGGAGCACGATGTGAACGGTGATTAATGCGATTTGCCAATTTTGGGCTGACAACTGACTGCAAGTAGACTGCCCTCATGCTGCAAGTGATAATCATGGAAAGCTTTAATAAACTCCTTAAACCAACATTAAAATTTACATAAAAAGATGACTCTACCTAGCAATACAATCCTTTTATTGCCATGAAAAGTAATAGGGCAAATACTCTATCCTGTCATATGTATGTAGCCTATGTGAACATAATTCTAAGGTGATATATTTATTGCTAATCTATCCTGAATTGTTCAGAGTACTTCAACAACAAGGCTGATGCAATGAAAGAAAAGTATTCCATAAAATAGCTAAATATTGATAGCCATGGTAATACAACCTTTAAAATAATTAATGGTTGACTTCCATTGATTGGCAAGGCTAAGGCAAAGTCAATCATTATCAACAACAATTCCAGCAAAAATCACAATGAAACTTACTCTACAGCTGCATCTTGGGAGAGCTGCGTACAATCATCGACAAAACTCTCATCGTATTTGTCAAGATGCTCTCCCTCCGACTCATCACTGGACATCCCCTCTCCATCCTCTGATAATTCTGCTTCATTATGGATAAAGTTGTTTTTCTGAAACGGCAATAGACCCAAATAAGAAATTAAACATTAAAAGTTCTATATTTCTACTAAGCTTATCTAAAATAAGAAAAAAGAAAGAAAAAAAACAAGTGAATAAATTTTTTAAAATCTATAAATGCTAACTGGTACTTGCATCATCTATAATTCATCATAGCAATGACTGTGGATCTCCAGTACAGATAAACAATCAAATGTTTTACCAGCTAGGAAAGTCAGAAAGAAGAGTAATATTTCCTTCTGTAAAACATAATAAAAAATCTTTATCTAAAAAAAATGAAAAAGAAAAACAAAAAATATGTATCTATATAATGTATAAAATTCAAAACCTTGATTTTTTAAAATAATATAATGAAAAAAGAGAGAGAGAGATATCTTTCTTGGACTCACCAATATTTCATTTTTTTTCATCTTCTTCTCAGCCTGATTAATGTACTTGGGCCCTGGACGTAGAATTGACACTTCCCCTTCAAAATCGTCATCCTCTATGGAAACTGTGGAGTCTCGGCTGTTGTTTTTATGACTCTTACCCTTCCAGCTCTTCCGTTCTGAATCTGTGCTGGCTGAGCTTGAGCTAGTCATTGCCCTCCTTGCTCGGAGACTTTCTCCTGCCGATTTTGGACTATTCATCAGCTCTTCCTCACTATCTGAATCCACAACCTGACCAAGTCTTCTCTTTTGTCTTCGCCATACCTGCGTTGCCTCCTGAGTTCCTGCCACTAAACTTGTGTTAAGCTTGGCTGGTTCGCTCTTTTTGCAAACTGGTGATTCGTCGTCTGAAACAATTATGACTTCTGAGTTCTCAGCTTTATCATCAGCATAGAGAGAGAAACTCACTTCCTTTTTCTTCTTTTTCTCTTCTTTGGCCATCTTCATATTCAGCTCAATATCAGCCAGCAGTGACTCGGACATGGGTTCAAAATCTCCACTCCCCAGCAAGTCCCAGTGATCCGAACTTTTACGCTGACTTTCCTTTTCTTCCACTTCTGACCAATTATTATTATCAAAGTCAATGTCATCAAGCAAGGAAAAGTTGGGCTCTGCTCCTGTAGTCCTGAAGTCTGGATTCTCTGAAGATAGATTTTCTTTAGGTATGGGTAGAACAGGTGCTGCTTTTTTCCTTTCAGTCGCGTATGAAGTACTCCTTCCACTCTGGCTTAAAGTCTTACTTAATGAGGGCCTTTTTTTGCTGTTTTTATTTCTATCAAGTGTAATTTCATCACATAAAGTAAAACTGGGTTCATTTAATATATCATGAGCTTCTTTTTCGGGCAGTAAAGGTTCAGACTTAGAACAAGACAGTCTTTTGCTTACAACTGAATTGCTTATCCCATTTCTGCCTGACAGGCTCCTCTTCAGTACCTTTTTATTACTATTTTCATCATTGCTTCTCTTCACATTTTCTGCTTTCTCCTGGACTATAGTTTTAGTTGGGGTTTTAAAAGAATAATTAAGTCTTTCTTGTTTAAAAGCACCATCATTTTCCAGCTCAGATATACTCTTACTACAAGCAAACTCACTTTCTTCATTTGACTCATCATCAACAAGATTTATGATTTGTGTAACACTTAAAAGATTTTGCTTTGATCTCTCAAAAGGTTTTATGTCCTTCTGTTCAGAAGAATGCTTCTTCTGCTCAGGTACTGAAGGCTCTTTAGGAGTGGTAGATTCACATTTCTGGTCTTTGGGACCTTCAAGTTCATTCATGTCAAAGTCAGCAAACAAATCATCTTCAAAACTAAGGTCAAAGTTAACACTACACACTTCTTTTACTGAAGTGGATGGGGCTTTTTTGGGTTCCTCTGCAATACTGTATTTTTTGTGCATTTCAGAAATGTCTTCCATGTCATTGTCTACATTCATGCTACTTTCAGAAATTATTCTGTCTTCACAATTTGCTGGAAAATTCTCATTAGATTTGCTACTATTGCTTTCCTTAAGATTTGCATCAAATCTACCATTACTACTGGCTTTGAATTTTTCAATTTGGACACTTTCATCAATTTGGATTGTTCCATCTTTGTAGAATGCTTGTGGAATTTCCGAGTCCTCTATGGATTTAGAGAAATTGCTTCTCACACTTTTGTCAGAACTGGATCCATCCTGATTTAATAAAACCTGGTCTTGGGTACATTCTGCTGATACATTTACGTTATCTGACTTCACATTATCTTGAACTGAGAATTTACTGAGTTTACAGCGTACTTTACTTCTCTGACTGAGTAATACTGATGGTTCTGTAACAACAGAGGGTATTGGATTAACAGTATCATCATATTTTTTCCTTAAAATACTTTTGGCTGTACTTATCTGTCCTGGTAATGGTTCTATATTCTCAGCTTCACTAGACAATGAACACTCTTGTTCTATTCTAGTTAGATTTGGAGTTGTGACCTTGAACAGACGTTTTGCATTTAGTTTTGGTGTCGACGAATAAAGATTCAAATTGGGTCTAACAAGTTTCCTATAATTTGAAGGTAATATTGGTGACACTTCTTCAGCTACACTTTCACTAGCCTTTTCGGGTGTATTACTTGCATTTTCCTCTGTAATCATATCTTTGGTACCAATATTCTGCTGATCATCATGCATTTTGAACAACCAGGAATTGGGCTGTAAGCATTCCTTTCATCTGAGTCTGGTATGACCATGGCCTCTTGTATTTCCTGTGTCTGTGCTATAAGAAGATTCACTTCCCTTGATATATCCACATCTTCAATCTCCGATATATCAGACTGCAGACATTTGTTTACCCTTCTACTTTCCATCCACTTATCTACTTCAGATAAGACCTCTGTAGGACTTAAGGGTTCATCGATTTCCTTGTCACTTGGAATGGAATATGGAGGTGTCATAATGTGGAGTGGAGACGCAGATCTGAAGGACAACATTGACACAACCTGCTTAGATATACTATCGTAAGCAGATGTAAAATCCATCGAGTCCCTTTTTTCTATTTCCATATCCTCTTCACAATTCCGTGATGGATCATTCAGGTCTTTACTTCTGGTGTTATTTTCTTTACTTTTACTAAACGAGGAGGTTATCAAATCATCTCCATTGGCCTGATCCACATTGACATCCATTACACCATCCTCTATAATCTCTATGTCACTATCATCTTCCTTTCCTTTTGGTTTCTCAGACAAGATGTCGAAGTCTTCAAGATCTTGGTGGGTTTGGGACCTCAATTCCTCTGCATTTTTCCGTGCTTTCTGGCTGTTGAACATGTCTGTAATGAGGTTACTTTGTTTGGGTTTCATGTTTTTTTTCTTCTCCCCTTTTGCTATTTTGGATTTCTTCTTTGGAAGCTCCTCCTTTGATGTTGCTGCCTTAGCTTTCTTTGTCTCTTTATCTGTTCAAAAAGCAAACACTGAATACATTTCTTATCACAATTTTTTTCTGATGATTTTCAATATTTTCAAAACTCATCAATGACTCAAGGATAAAAAAGCCCAATGAAAATTAATGTCAAACAACTTTCAAAACTGTATCCATACCTAACAAGATTTCCTCATATCATAACCTTCTAAGGAGGTATACAATGAATCAAAAATAACTAAAAAGAGATCTCGAACCAGTCATGATAGAACAAAATATCTGTGTATAATTTTCCAAGGAAATTAATGTTCTGAAATACTTAATTAATACTCTTGAGATATTGACATGGCCTACAGGCATCCAAACCAAACATTGAGAAAATACATAAACCTCATTCCAAAACACAAACCTTCTATGTAACTCATATCAAGAAAGGCCTGCATCTCAAGACTATAGGGGTCATCATCTGGGTCGAGATTAATCTGCAGGTCAATGAATTCTGTGAGCTGAACCAGATTCCGTGACTGCATAGAGTGTCCAAGTACATGTGTCTTCTGTAACATGGTCTGCCAGGGTTGGTAGTCTCCAAAGTTGATGGTGGACATTTCTTCCTTCACTTCTTGGTCTGTAAGTTTAACTATTAATATTATCTGTCACTTCAGTTTAATTCTCAAGTCACTGAGACCTTATTAATGGCTGTAATAGTAATTAAAAAAAAAATATTTTGATAAATTAATATACATATATATTGTATGTAAGTATAACCACATATATTCCAACATAAACAAAAATAAATCAAAAGTAACCTGTGCTATGAAAACACTCACCTTGTTTCTTCAAGCTCATGAATGTTGGCTTTGCTAGAGTCTTCACCTCTGCCACAGGAACCCACAAATTGTCTCTTAGCCACTGCCATTCCTCTTGGCTTAGCATACCAACTTTACCTTGTTGTTTCTGTAAAGTAATATCATTTTAATACAGATAGCATTCAGCAATATTTTCTAGGTATATGCAAAATGTAGTAACTGTCTGGCCTAATGTAAAAATAAATATCAAATCGGCATAAGTTTCCAAATTACATGAAAGAAAAAAATATCACCCAAAAAGTCATATACTTTAACCCAAATATCTTTCAAACAATGTCCTTTTGAGGGAAACTTACCTTTTTCGACACATTTGTCCTCTCTAAGAGCGAGCCTGAGAGTGACTTTGAGCTTGTGTCAGATTTTCGGTCCTTGCCAGTCTTGGTCTTCCACGTGCCAATCTTCATGTGGAGCTTGTGACATACAGGTGTTATACCTTGAAAATGAATACATAAATAAAGTATTTTACCTTCAAGACTAATAAATAAGGTGTTACAACCTACAAATAAATAAATAAGGTATTTTACCTTCATAAAGCAAATAAACAAGGTGTTATAACTTGCAAATGAATAAATAAATAAGGAACTTTACCTTCAAAACAAATAAATAAGGTGTTATGAAGAATGAATAAATAAATGTTTTACCTTGCAAATAAATAAACTATACGAAATATCTTGCAAATGAATAAACAAGTGAGGTATTTTACCTAGCAAGTAAGTAATTAAGCAAAGGGATTTTCTTTTTCAAATTTGTTGACTGACTAAAAATTTCTCAAAACTGAGAACTGTCTCCAGCTATTCCCCAACATACCTCTTGGCACCATGCGAACATTTGACGGAAAGAGAAACCTTTTCAGTTTATCTCCATCTGATAGAGCTGCATTGATGTTTTTCTTCTGTAACTGACTCTGATTATACATCTGTAATACCAAAATTAATAGGTAAATACATACATTCAGCAAGTACACATAAAGAAAAATTTGTAAATACAAATTTTAGAACTAAGCAATAAAAAAAGGCAAGGAATCTGCTATGTGAATGAAAATGAATGAAAATAACATAAAATTCCCAGACAAATTAATATCGACCAAAGCCATTAGCTCACCTGTTCCTCCTTCCCCTTTGTTACTAGGATGATGATACGTCCTTCGCGCTTTCTCCCTGTACGACCTATTCTCTGCACCAAACGGATTGGGGACTTCGGTGCATCATAGCAAATGATCAGATCAACTTCGCCAATGTCCAAGCCTGCAAGTTTTTTACTTTATTTAATTTGCAAAAGTTTGTTAATTTTGCGGTATTCATTCATTTCTTCATGACAGGTCACGTTTATTGATACATATTTCCATTGGGATAATTTAGTTAGGCAGAAATTCTGAAGAAGATATAAATTGAAAAAACTCTATTACCCTTCTTGCCTCACAAAATTATTCCTTCTCATATCAGCCTTTTAAAGCAAAACTGGTTTATAAAATCTTTAAACACACTTGCCTTCTTCTCCTACACAGGTTGAAGTTAAAGTGTTAAACCCTCCCTCTTTGAACTCTCTCACAACCTGAAAATCAAATTATCTTTAACAGCTATTCAGTATGTTGCAATTATTAATTTGTGACCAACATATAACCATAACATACTTGCATTTACTTCTACAAACACCTAAAAAAATTATCTAAAATTACATTGATTGACACTAATACCTAAGCATTACAGTCATAATAATGACATTACAAAAAAATAATAATAATAATAAATAAATAAATAAATAAAAATTATAAAACTAAAAGATTTTATTTTTCAAAAATCAAAATTACATTTATTTCCACCAACACCTAAAAATTGCAGTCATAATCAGCCGTGTATTACCTTTAACTGTTCCTTTTGAGTGAAACCCCTTCCTCCATGAGCTACTGTTGATTGGCCAACAAAGCTCATAGCCTTAACAAGAGGGTAATGGTGCTGTAACATTCTGTAATCTCCAGTACACTGTCTCTGTACTATCAAGAGATAAAAAAGGAAAAGTCAGTCTCCATACTCTAATAGCAAAAATGAATTACATATTTGAATATCTTAACGATGCTGAATCCCAAAGGGTAAAGTTTATCAAGAAAGTGTCTCATTGCTTATGACTGTACACATATATATACTGGATTTTATTTCAATATACCTGGGAGAATATCATCACTCGAGTAGACTTCCCTTCATCAAGAAACTTCTGGTGGTGTTTTATGACAATTTTGCGAAGTTCTTCCATTTTGGGATGACTTACAATGTATGGAGTAGATGACTTTGCTTTTGACTGTGGACTGCCAATCTACAAACCAGAAAGATTTATCATCAAGCTAATAAAGTGAATATTTTATCTAACAATACAAATGAGCAAAACAAATATTCGTACACAGAATCATGCATTTCATATAAATACATTAAAGGCTTTATAACAAGTATGATGCCACTATTCATAGATTTCAACATATACACCCAATAAATTAGAAATGGTTTTAGCATATCACTTTGTAGCATTATCAACCAATGGAAGTTTTACATTTAATCTAAAATATACCTGAAATGCAATAATGAACTTAATGTTTGTCTGTTTGTTGATGATAGAATAGAAAAGAAAAAGCATAGCACACACCAAGAAAAAGAAAAAAAAATAGAGATGCTTCGATTATAATGTGCACTACACATGCTAATGAGCTATATGACCTGAAACATGAAAAGTATTTTCATATTCAGGCTGCAATACTGATTAAATGGCAAACATTTCTGTCATCAATAAAATCTTGTAAACTTATTGATAGCGTAAACAGCATCACTGAAGCAAAACATTTGCAAAAATCCATATCTTGTTCATCAGTGTTACTGAAGTAAGTTCAAAATGAACATGTATGTCTTCCCATTTGCTCTATAAGACAGTCAGGTACCTAAATCATTAAATAAAAGCCTTTGTAATTTGATATGCTGATGAAGTATTACAGTTTTCCTTATACTGTTTTTACTCTATTAGTATTGGCTATTTGTCAGCTGCTTGTTTATGATCTTAAAATATGACATTGTAGAAAAAATTAGCAAAGTGAGAATCAAATAAATCAAAAAGTGCCCTCCCAAAAAAAAAAAAAAACAAAAAAAGTTTAAACATGAACATGCAAGGCCTGTTTTTTTCTAAAGCCACAGTATATTATATCATGACAATGGTATGACAGGTATCCTATTCGACCCTGCACAGTCATTATCCCTTAACAATACCCTTAACCCATGTCATGGTGATCTCAATGTTTCCACCTGGCCTCAGAAGGATATCCTCTTCTTGGTGGGTGACACTGCTGAAATTACCATGGAGTGTATGGTTATCACCCAGCACCAGTGTGACTTGTAATACACTGAACTGAATGATGTAGAATAAAAAATAAGGCAAAGGGAGAAATAAAAGACAAGAAACTATTCACACGTGGCTGACCCTATGAGTTAAAAGGGGTCATGCACCTGCCAAGTGGAAGTGCCAAAAAGACATGCAAATATCACCTTAAACATCACAAACAATAGAGCAATTACATACAACAATCCACCTCATGTCTCACCTGTGCAAACATTCCAGAGCTATTCATGGTTGAATTCTGCTGCTGTCCGAGTCATACTTTTGCAGAGGTCCTCCATGAGACGCTGAAAGACACTGTTACGCTGCAGTTCCCCTCTTGCCATACTATGACCCTTGTCCCCTCCAAGAGTTCCTAGAAACATATATCAAATATATTAATGTCTATATCTATATTATCTATAACTAAGCCTATGTTAAAACCAATAACCAAATCTTATGAACACATATCTTTCTCCGCCAACTTTATATATAATAAAAAAAAATCATTGCGTAAATTAATACCACAATAGATAAGTTAATGAATAAAAAAGCAAACAAATAGACAAAAGTGAATAAATAAATAAATAAATAAACATTACGTAAACAATATATAAATATGCATGCAAATAAGTAATGAATAAAATGGCTTTCTAACTAAATGTTAGGAAAATTTCAACAGTACCAACGGACCTTTCAGGAAATTGTAAAAAGACCTGATGCCATGCTGGAGGAGAAGTTCGTATGCATGATACAGAGTCATGCACAAGGCAAACATTCCCTCTGCAACTCCATAACGATCACGAGGGAGGTTGTCTGGCGGATTTTGACGAAAGCCTTCACGAGCCTTCAATATCTGCAACATTTCAAATCAAAGAAAAGAAATTGATAACGATACGTGATGAAATTTAGAAAGGGGAGAGGTGGGAGGGAAGGAGAGAAAAAGATGAAAGCAAGAAAAAATAGATAAAAAGAAGAAAAAAATGAAATTGGAAATAAAAATAGAATGAAAGAACAGAGAGAGAATGAAAAAAGAAGGAGAAGAAGAAGAGGGACAGGAAGGAGGGAGGGAGGGAGGGAAGCAGGAGGGAGGTAGGAGAAGAGAGAGAAAGAGATAGAAGGAGGAATGAGAGAGAGAGAGAGAGAGAGAGAGAGAGAGAGAGAGAGAGAGAGAGAAGAGAGAGAGAGAGAGAGAAGAGAGAGAGAGAGAGAGAGAGAGAGAGAGAGAGAGAGAGAGGAGAGAGAGAGAGAGAGAGAGAGAGGAGAGAGAGAGAGAGAGAGAGAGAAGAGAGAGAGAAGAAAGCAAGAAAAAGAGCAAGAAAAAATAGATAAAAAGAAAGAAAAAAATAAGGAAATAAAAATAGAAGAAAAGAGACAGAGAGAGAGAAAAAGAAGGAGAAGAAGAGAGGGACAGGGGGGAGGGAAGGGAGGAGGGAAAGAGAGAGGAGAGGAGAAGAGGGAAGGGAGGAGGAGAGAAAGAGAGAGAAAGAGATAGGAGGAGAGAAGAAGAAGAAGAGAGAGAGAGAGAGAGAGAGAGAGAGAGAGAGAGAGAGAGAGAGAGAGAGAGAGAGAGAGAGAGGAGAGAGAGAGAGAGAGAGAGAGAGAGAGAGAGAGAGAGAGAAGAGAGAGAGAGAGAAGAGAGAGAGAGAGAAGAAGAGAGAGAAGAGAGAGAGGGAGAAGGGAGAGGAGAGGGAGAGGGAGAGGAAGAGGAGAGAAGGAGAGAGGGAGAGGGAGAGGAGAGGAGAGGGAGAGGGAGAGGAGAGGGAGAGGGAGAGGGAGAGGGAGAGGAGAAGGGGAGAGAGAGAAGAGAGAGAGAGAGAGAGAAGAGAGAGAGAGGAGAGAGGAGAGAGAGAGAGAAGAGAGGAGAGAGAGAAGAGAGAGAGAGGAGAGGGAGAGNTGGAATGCTTTGGTATTTCATTAAGATTTGCATCAAATCTACCATTACTACTGGCTTTGAATTTTTCAATTTGGACACTTTCATCAATTTGGATTGTTCCATCTTTGTGGAATGCTTGTGGAATTTCCGAGTCCTCTATGGATTTAGAGAAATTGCTTCTCACACTTTTGTCAGAACTGGATCCATCCTGATTTAATAAAACCTGGTCTTGGGTACATTCTGCTGATACATTTACGTTATCTGACTTCACATTATCTTGAACTGAGAATTTACTGAGTTTACAGCGTACTTTACTTCTCTGACTGAGTAATACTGATGGTTCTGTAACAACAGAGGGTATTGGATTAACAGTATCATCATATTTTTTCCTTAAAATACTTTTGGCTGTACTTATCTGTCCTGGTAATGGTTCTATATTCTCAGCTTCACTAGACAATGAACACTCTTGTTCTATTCTAGTTAGATTTGGAGTTGTGACCTTGAACAGACGTTTTGCATTTAGTTTTGGTGTCGACGAATAAAGATTCAAATTGGGTCTAACAAGTTTCCTATAATTTGAAGGTAATATTGGTGACACTTCTTCAGCTACACTTTCACTAGCCTTTTCGGGTGTATTACTTGCATTTTCCTCTGTAATCATATCTTTGGTACCAATATTCTGCTGATCATCATGCATTTTTGAACAACCAGGAATTGGGCTGTAAGCATTCCTTTCATCTGAGTCTGGTATGACCATGGCCTCTTGTATTTCCTGTGTCTGTGCTATAAGAAGATTCACTTCCCTTGATATATCCACATCTTCAATCTCCGATATATCAGACTGCAGACATTTGTTTACCCTTCTACTTTCCATCCACTTATCTACTTCAGATAAGACCTCTGTAGGACTTAAGGGTTCATCGATTTCCTTGTCACTTGGAATGGAATATGGAGGTGTCATAATGTGGAGTGGAGACGCAGATCTGAAGGACAACATTGACACAACCTGCTTAGATATACTATCGTAAGCAGATGTAAAATCCATCGAGTCCCTTTTTTCTATTTCCATATCCTCTTCACAATTCCGTGATGGATCATTCAGGTCTTTTCTTCTGGCGTTATTTTCTTTACTTTTACTAAACGAGGAGGTTATCAAATCATCTCCATTGGCCTGATCCACATTGACATCCATTACACCATCCTCTATAATCTCTATGTCACTATCATCTTCCTTTCCTTTTGGTTTCTCAGACAAGATGTCGAAGTCTTCAAGATCTTGGTGGGTTTGGGACCTCAATTCCTCTGCATTTTTCCGTGCTTTCTGGCTGTTGAACATGTCTGTAATGAGGTTACTTTGTTTGGGTTTCATGTTTTTTTTCTTCTCCCCTTTTGCTATTTTGGATTTCTTCTTTGGAAGCTCCTCCTTTGATGTTGCTGCCTTAGCTTTCTTTGTCTCTTTATCTGTTCAAAAAGCAAACACTGAATACATTTCTTATCACAATTTTTTTCTGATGATTTTCAATATTTTCAAAACTCATCAATGACTCAAGGATAAAAAAGCCCAATGAAAATTAATGTCAAACAACTTTCAAAACTGTATCCATACCTAACAAGATTTCCTCATATCATAACCTTCTAAGGAGGTATACAATGAATCAAAAATAACTAAAAAGAGATCTCGAACCAGTCATGATAGAACAAAATATCTGTGTATAATTTTCCAAGGAAATTAATGTTCTGAAATACTTAATTAATACTCTTGAGATATTGACATGGCCTACAGGCATCCAAACCAAACAGTGAGAAAATACATACTCATTCCAAAACACAAACCTTCTATGTAACTCATATCAAGAAAGGCCTGCATCTCAAGACTATAGGGGTCATCATCTGGGTCGAGATTAATCTGCAGGTCAATGAATTCTGTGAGCTGAACCAGATTCCGTGACTGCATAGAGTGTCCAAGTACATGTGTCTTCTGTAACATGGTCTGCCAGGGTTGGTAGTCTCCAAAGTTGATGGTGGACATTTCTTCCTTCACTTCTTGGTCTGTAAGTTTAACTATTAATATTATCTGTCACTTCAGTTTAATTCTCAAGTCACTGAGACCTTATTACTGGCTGTAATAGTAATTTAAAAAAAAAAATTATTTTGATAAATTAATATACATATATATTGTGTAATGTAACCAAAAATAAATCAAAAGTAACCTGTGCTATGAAAACGCTCACCTAGTTTCTTCAAGCTCATGAATGTTGGCTTTGCTAGAGTCTTCACCTCTGCCACAGGAACCCACAAATTGTCTCTTAGCCACTGCCATTCCTCTTGGCTTAGCATACCAACTTTACCTTGTTGTTTCTGTAAAGTAATATCATTTTAATACAGATAGCATTCAGCAATATTGCCTAATGTAAAAATAAATATCAAATCGGCATAAGTTTCCAAATTACATGAAAGAAAAAAATATCACCCAAAAAGACATATACTTTAACCCAAATATCTTTCAAACAATGTCCTTTTGAGGGAAACTTACCTTTTTCGACACATTTGTCCTCTCTAAGAGCGAGCCTGAGAGTGACTTTGAGCTTGTGTCAGATTTTCGGTCCTTGCCAGTCTTGGTCTTCCACGTGCCAATCTTCATGTGGAGCTTGTGACATACAGGTGTTATACCTTGCAAATGAATACATAAATAAAGTATTTTTCCTTCAAGACTAATAAATAAGGTGTTACAACCTACAAATAAATAAATAAGGTATTTTACCTTCATAGAGCAAATAAACAAGGTGTTATAACTTGCAAATGAATAAATAAATAAGGAACTTTACCTTCAAAACAAATAAATAAGGTGTTATGAAGAATGAATAAATAAATGTTTTACCTTGCAAATAAATAAACTATACGAAATATCTTGCAAATGAATAAACAAGTGAGGTATTTTACCTTGCAAGTAAGTAATTAAGCAAAGGGATTTTCTTTTTCAAATTTGTTGACTGACTAAAAATTTCTCAAAACTGAGAACTGTCTCCAGCTATTCCCCAACATACCTCTTGGCACCATGCGAACATTTGACGGAAAGAGAAACCTTTTCAGTTTATCTCCATCTGATAGAGCTGCATTGATGTTTTTCTTCTGTAACTGACTCTGATTATACATCTGTAATACCAAAATTAATAGGTAAATACATACATTCAGCAAGTACACATAAACAAAAATTTGTAAATACAAATTTTAGAACTAAGCAATAAAAAAAGGCAAGGAATCTGCTATGTGAATGAAAATGAATGAAAATAACATAAAATTCCCAGACAAATTAATATCGACCAAAGCCATTAGCTCACCTGTTCCTCCTTCCCCTTTGTTACTAGGATGATGATACGTCCTTCGCGCTTTCTCCCTGTACGACCTATTCTCTGCACCAAACGGATTGGGGACTTCGGTGCATCATAGCAAATGATCAGATCAACTTCGCCAATGTCCAAGCCTGCAAGTTTTTTACTTTATTTAATTTGCAAAAGTTTGTTAATTTTGTGGTATTCATTCGTTTCTTCATGACAGGTCACGTTTATTGATACATATTTCCATTGGGATAATTTAGTTAGGCAGAAATTTTGAAGAAGATATAAATTGAAAAAACTCTGTTACCCTTTTTGCCTCATAAAATTATTCCTTCTCATATCTGCCTTTTAAAGCAAAACTGGTTTATAAAATCTTTAAACACACTTGCCTTCTTCTCCTACACAGGTTGAAGTTAAAGTGTTAAACCCTCCCTCTTTGAACTCTCTCACAACCTGAAAATCAAATTATCTTTAACAGCTATTCAGTATGTTGCAATTATTAATTTGTGACCAACATATAACCATAACATACTTGCATTTACTTCTACAAACACCTAAAAAAATTATCTAAAATTACATTGATTGACACTAAAACCTAAGCATTACATCATAATAATGACATTACAAAAAAATAATAATAATAATAAATAAATAAATAAATAAAAATTATAAAACTAAAAGATTTATTTTTTTCAAAAATCAAAATTACATTTATTTCCACCAACACCTAAAAATTGCAGTCATAATCAGCCGTGTATTACCTTTAACTGTTCCTTTTGAGTGAAACCCCTTCCTCCATGAGCTACTGTTGATTGGCCAACAAAGCTCATAGCCTTAACAAGAGGGTAATGGTGCTGTAACATCTCTGTAATCTCCAGTACACTGTCTCTGTACTATCAAGAGATAAAAAAGGAAAAGTCAGTCTCCATACTCTATAGCAAAAATTAATTACATATTTGAATATCTTAACGATGCTGAATCCCAAAGGGTAAAGTTTATCAAGAAAGTGTCTCATTGCTTATGACTGTACACATATATATACTGGATTTTATTTCAATATACCTGGGAGAATATCATCACTCGAGTAGACTTCCCTTCATCAAGAAACTTCTGGTGGTGTTTTATGACAATTTTGCGAAGTTCTTCCATTTTGGGATGACTTACAATGTATGGAGTAGATGACTTTGCTTTTGACTGTGGACTGCCAATCTACAAACCAGAAAGATTTATCATCAAGCTAATAAAGTGAATATTTTATCTAACAATACAAATGAGCAAAACAAATATTCGTACACAGAATCATGCATTTCATATAAATACATTAAAGGCTTTATAACAAGTATGATGCCACTATTCATAGATTTCAACATATACACCCAATAAATTAGAAATGGTTTTAGCATATCACTTTGTAGCATTATCAACCAATGGAAGTTTTACATTTAATCTAAAATATACCTGAAATGCAATAATGAACTTAATGTTTGTCTGTTTGTTGATGATAGAATAGAAAAGAATAAAGCATAGCACACACCAAGAAAAAGAACAAAAAATAGAGATGCTTCGATTATAATGTGCACTACACATGCTAATGAGCTATATGACCTGAAACATGAAAAGTATTTTCATATTCAGGCTGCAATACTGATTAAATGGCAAACATTTCTGTCATCATTAAAATCTTGTAAACTTATTGATAGTGTAAACAGCATCACTGAAGCAAAACATTTGCAAAAATCCATATCTTGTTCATCAGTGTTACTGAAGTAAGTTCAAAATGAACATGTATGTCTTCCCATTTGCTCTATAAGACAGTCAGGTACCTAAATCATTAAATAAAAGCCTTTGTAATTTGATATGCTGATGAAGTATTACAGTTTTCCTTATACTGTTTTTACTCTATTAGTATTGGCTATTTGTCAGCTGCTTGTTTATGATCTTAAAATATGACATTGTAGAAAAAACATTAGCAAAGTGAGAATCAAATAAATTAAAAAGTGCCCTCCCAAAAAAAAACAAAAAACAAAAAAAGTTTAAACATGAACATGCAAGGCCTGTTTTTTTTTAAAGCCACAGTATATTATATAATGACAATGGTATGACAGGTATCCTATTCGACCCTGCACAGTCATTATCCCCTTAACAACAGATACCCTTAACCCATGTCCTGGTGATCTCAATGTTTCCACCTGGCCTCAGAAGGATATCCTCTTCTTGGTGGGTGACACTGCTGAAATTACCATGGAGTGTATGGTTATCACCCAGCACCAGTGTGACTTGTAATACACTGAACTGAATGATGTAGAATAAAAAATAAGGCAAAGGGAGAAATAAAAGACAAGAAACTATTCACACGTGGCTGACCCTATGAGTTAAAAGGGGTCATGCACCTGCCAAGTGGAAGTGCCAAAAAGACATGCAAATATCACCTTAAACATCACAAACAATAGAGCAATTACATACAACAATCCACCTCATGTCTCACCTGTGCAAACATTCCAGAGCTATTCATGGTTGAATTCTGCTGCTGTCCCGAGTCATACTTTTTGCAGAGGTCCTCCATGAGACGCTGAAAGACACTGTTACGCTGCAGTTCCCCTCTTGCCATACTATGACCCTTGTCCCCTCCAAGAGTTCCTAGAAACATATATCAAATATATTAATGTCTATATCTATATTATCTATAACTAAGCCTATGTTAAAACCAATAACCAAATCTTATGAACACATATCTTTCTCCGCCAACTTTATATATAATAAAAAAAAATCATTGCGTAAATTAATACCACAATAGATAAGTTAATGAATAAAAAAGCAAACAAATAGACAAAAGTGAATAAATAAATAAATAAATAAACATTACGTAAACAAATATATAAATATGCATGCAAATAAGTAAATGAATAAAATGGCTTTCTAACTAAATGTTAGGAAAATTTCAACAGTACCAACGGACCTTTCAGGAAATTGTAAAAAGACCTGATGCCATGCTGGAGGAGAAGTTCGTATGCATGATACAGAGTCATGCACAAGGCAAACATTCCCTCTGCAACTCCATAACGATCACGAGGGAGGTTGTCTGGCGGATTTTGACGAAAGCCTTCACGAGCCTTCAATATCTGCAACATTTCAAATCAAAAGAAAAGAAATTGATAACGATACGTGATGAAATTTAGAAAGGGGGAGAGGTGGGGAGGGAAGGAGAGAAAAAGATGAAAGCAAGAAAAAATAGATAAAAAGAAGAAAAAAATGAAATTGGAAATAAAAATAGAATGAAAGAACAGAGAGAGAATGAAAAAGAAGGAGAAAAGAAGAGGGACAGGAGGGAGGGAGGGAGGGAGGGAAGCAGGAGGGAGGTAGGAGAAGAGAGAGAAAGAGATAGAAGGAGAGAAGAGAGAGAGAGAGAGAGAGAGAGAGAGAGAGAGAGAGAGAGAAGAGAGAGAGAGAGAGAGAGAGAGAGAGAGAGAGAGAGAGAGAGAGAGAGAGAGAGAGAGAGAGAGAGAGAGAGAGAGAGAGAGAGAGAGAGAGAGAGAGAGAGAGAGAGAGAGAGAGAGAGAGAGAGAGAAAGCAAGAAAAAAAGCAAGAAAAAATAGATAAAAAGAAGAAAAAAATTTAATTGGAAATAAAAATAGAATGAAAGAACAGAGAGAGATGAAAAAGAAGGAGAAGAAGAGAGGGACAGAGGGAAGGGAGGGAGGGGAGGGAGGGAGGGAGGGAAGGAGGAGGTAGGAGAAAGAGAGAGAAAGAGATAGGAGGAGAGAATGAAGAAGAGAGAGAGAGAGAGAGAGAGAGAGAGAGAGAGAGAGAGAAGAGAGAGAGAGAGAGAGAGAGAGAGAGAGAGAGAGAGAGAGAGAGAGAGAGAGAGAGAGAGAGAGAGAGAGAGAGAGAGAGAGAGAGAGAGAGAGAGAGAGAGAGAGAGAGAGAGATGGGAGAGGGAGAGGGAGAGGGAGAGGGAGAGGGAGAGGAGGGAGAGGGAGAGGGAGAGGAGAGGGAGAGGGAGAGGGAGAGGGAGAGAGAGAGAGAGAGGAGAGAGAGAGAGAGAGAAGAGAGAGAGAGGAGAGAGAGAGAGAGAGAGAGAGAGAGGAGCGAGAGAGGAGAGGGAGAGAGAGAGAGAGAGAGAGGAGAGGGAGAGAGGGAGAGAGAGAGGGAGAGAGAGAGGGAAGAGAGAGAGAGAGAGAGAGAGAGAGAGAGAGAGAGAGAGAGAGAGAGAGAGAGAGAGAGAGAGAGAGAGAGAGAGGAGAGAGAGAGAGAGAGAGAGAGGGAGAGAGAGAGAGATTTAGAGAGAGAGAGAGAAGAGAGAGAGAGAAGGAGAGAGAGATAGGAGAGAGAGAGAGAGAGAGAGAGAGGCTAGAGAGAGAAGGCTAGGAGAGAGAGGAGAGAGAGAGAGGAGAGAGAAGAGAGAGAGAAGGAGAGAGAAGCTAGAGAGAGAAGGCTAGAGAGAGAAGGCTAGAGAGAGAGAAGGCTAGAGAGAGAAGGGAGAGAGGAAGGCTAGAGAGAGAGAGAGAGAAGGCTAGAGAAGGAGACGAGAGAGAGAAGGCTAGAGAGAGAAAGAAAGGCTAGAGAGAGAGAGAGAGAGAAGGCTAGAGAGAGAAAGGCTAGAGAGAGAGGCTAGAGAGAGAAGGCTAGAGAGAGAAGGCTAGAGAGAGAAGGCGAGAGAGAAGGCTAGAGAGAGAAGGCTAGAGAGAGAAGGCTAGAGAGAGAAGGAGAGAGAGAAGGCTAGAGAGAGAAGGCGAGAGAGAAGGCTAGAGAGAGAAGGCTAGAGAGAGAAGGCTAGAGAGAGAAGGCTAGAGAGAGAAGCTAGAGAGAGAAGGCTAGAGAGAGAAGGCTAGAGAGAGAAGGCAGGCTAGAAGAGAGAAGGCTAGAGAGAGAAGGCTGAGAGAGAAGGCTAGAGAGAGAAGGCTAGAGAGAGAAGGCTAGAAGAGCGAGAGAGAGAAGGCTAGAGAGAGAAGGGAGAGAGAGGCTAGAGAGAGGCTAGAGAGAGAAGAGAGAGAAGCTAGAGAGAGAAGGCTAGAGAGAGAAGGCTAGAGAGAGAGGCTAGAGAGAGAGAGAGAGAGAGAGAGAGAGAGAGAGAGAGAGAGAGAGAGGAGAGAGAGAGAGAGAGAGAGAGAGAGAGAGAGAAAAGGGTATTTTTACATGTATATATACATATGAATAATGGGTATAAACAGGCACATGCATATATATACACATCTCTATATTTTATTCAAGAATATCAATCAAAAATGAAATGAAATGAAATATAATACAACTGACAAAACCCTCCAAGTAAATTCTTAATAAAATTGATAAATACAAAACTATCATAAAAGAACTCAGATGATATATATCCATCAATAACATATCATCAGGGAAACTTACCTGAAATTTTGAAAGTGTCGTCTCATCACGAGTATACAGTACCCTCATGTCTATTAACCTGTTAACATAAACTCGCAATACCTGAAAGAATGAACACAGGATGGATAACAGTTACAGGCTTTGTGAATATGCAAGAAACAAATTTTTACTGGATTTGACCTTTAAATGACTATTATCCCAGATGAATCAGAAAAAATTTCCTTTATGCTTTATATCTAGGAGTCTCAGTACGATAAATATATAAAAACAGTAACTACAAAACTCATTCACTATAAAAAAATAAAATGGATTTACTCACATTCTGATATCTTGATTGAATACTAGCTAGTTCTGCTCCTAAAGGTACAACAACTTTTTCTATATGCCGTTGGTGGCTATAAGCAGCAATGTCTGGGCTATCTTCACTTCGGAGCTCAATGTGTGATATCAAGAGGTTTTGAATAACCTGTTTCAAGAAAGTAATATCTTTATTGTCCATAAAGATGAAAGCAATTCATGCTCTCATTTCAAATAAAGTGTCATATGATATAATTCGCTGTCAGTTCCAATTGCGATTTTTTTTAAATGGCTAAGAAGCAATTCAAACTAAAATTCAACATACATAAAAGTTTAACATGAGATATGAGGTTATACACTGCATTCTCCTTTGTGCTTGTATTAGCATGAGAATTCTAAACATATACTTCAATTATCAAACAAAGTTTAGGGTAATTATTGATCTTTTAAGACACATAAATCAAAAAGTTCTTTTCATTAAAACCAACCTGTTGTACTGATCTGACATCTGTCCCTGGTGTGGCAGATAACGCTAATATACGGAAATTACACTGTTGTTCTCTTAATGCCCGTACAACCTGACATGAGGAATTCATAAATAAGTGGATAAACACAATAGCAATATAAAAACTGGAAAGGTAAATGTATAAAAGCACACACTAACAATAAAGCATCTACTTCCAAATATATAGCTATTTGCATTTATACAGACTGAAAAATTTGAAGAGTTTAGCCTTCTCCTATATTCATGGAATGCAGAAATATTTGTCTTGAAATTCCTGATCTCAATATTCTTTTCTCTGATTCTAATCCATTTCCACCAATGGCAACAGCAATAATTTCAAGTATTACAAAAAAAATACATTATATTCATCTGTACCTCAGCACTGAAACATGCTACTCCATGATTTGCTCTTTCAAATGCAAAATCATAAAACTAATCAAAACAACCCACCTGACAATATGCATGATTTCCAAGTGCACGGTGGGCTTCATCCAACACCAGGCACTTTATTTGGTCTGCAGGACATGCACCGCGTGAAAGGTCATTTGTAAGTACTTGGGGTGTCAGGAAAAAGACTCTTTTATCAGTCCATTCCTGTATCCTCGAGGCTGGTGCCATTGAACCTGTAAAAATATAAATTGGGAACAGATCAGAGGAAATGCAAGAAAATCTATGAAAAAACAAAATGTATTTGTATATAAGTGTGTGTTCTCATGTATCATTTCAAAAATTTATACTAAATTCATATATATTCTTTTTATCCCAGCATAATAATATCTTTTCAACATACCTGTCATTTGAGAAGTATCTTCCTGTGGCATACCTACAATATTAAAACAAGCTTCTACCTGCTGGGCTACGAGGGGCTTTGTTGGGGCCATAAATATAATCTTGCTTCTTGGATACCATCGATAAAAATTGTACATCAAGACTGCAGCAATAAAGGTCTTGCCCAAACCTGAAGATAGGAGGAAAACAATGACAAGATCAAAATCTTATAATAATGTCGTAAGAAACCCAAATCTTAAGGATTATATCACCACTGATTTCCACATCGTTCACAAATGGAAAATCTTACCAGTGGGAAGGCAGACCAGGGTATTATTGTACAATGCTTTTTCAACAATAGAAAACTGGTATGATCGAAGTGGGTAGTTGACAGGATAAATCCATGTGCGTCCACTTTCAACATCAAACCCTGGGAGGGCCTCCAATGGTGTACTTTCTGGTACCAAAGGTCTGTACTCTTGCATCTCTGTACTCTTACTTGATTGTTCTCCATCATCCCTGACCAATTCTCCATCAAGACTGGAAGAAAAAGCTAAAATCAATATATTTGGTTACCATGACACCTAATCCTTAACAAACCTATATTCTAAAGCCACCGGTCATCATATTCAACTTGAATATTATCAATTTACATACCCTTTCCATTTATCTGATAGCATAAAATTCCTTATCCATGCAAATAACCATACAGAGAACAATGAATTAATTGACTATAACCACTATTAGCAATGTATTTTCATTCAATAAATTCTGAACATGTAGTAGTAAGTCAAAGATTTCTTCACTATAGTATATCAGATAAAAAAAATAAGAAACAAGGGTAATTTTACACAATAGTTCTGCATGATGGATTGTGACAATTTTGGTATTGCTGGATTCTTCTCAATTAGTATTCAAATGCATAGAAATTAATGCTTAGAAACCCCCCAAACCCCCACGCTCTTGGCCCTGATTGCAGGGGAGGGGGTAAAATATGAATAATATATAGAGAATTAGTCACTATGTTGTCTAATGCAGAGGGCTGTGCCCTCTGTGACCCCCCATGGGAAGCAAACCCACCAGAAATCAAAGAATCCTGCCATGAATATGAGGAGGATTCTTTCTTTTCCTGGGCAGGCCTTGGAGGGCAGCAGCCCCCTTTGTGGGGATCACAGGAGGTACAGCCCCCTGTATTAGACAGTATAGTCACTGATTCTGTACAGGCCCTACATTATTCATATTTTACCCTTAAGTTTCCCTTTTATGCCCTCCCCTGCTGTCAGGGCCAAGATTGTCATTAGTGGTGGAGGTTCTACCCAATAATTTATATACATTAGGATAGTAGAGAAGGAGTGAAATCCATCAGTACCAAAATTGTTACGATTCTTTGTGTGTAACTATTATGTAGAATTACCAAAATGACAGATTATACACCCCTGGCCCTTTATTGTCAAGTACTGTTATAGCCAGCACTGACTAACTACAAATATGGCACTGTGGTAAACTGCTGGACATGAGATATATTTACCAAATATCAATGGTCAGTATACATAATGAATGATAAGTTGGTAATTTTTTTTTTAATATGTCCGCCTAACGGATCACAACGATTTCAGTATTGTTGGATTCTTCTCAACATATACAATGCAAATATGTAGGTTTTATTGCGTGAAAGCCCCCCCAACCCTACGTTCTTGACCCCAATAGCAGGGGAGGGCATGAAAGGTATCATGGTAATTGCGGGGTATAATGTAAATGATGAATAAGAATCAGTCACAAATATGTAGGTTTTATTGCGTGAAAGACCCCCCAACCCCACTTTCTTGACCCCAACAGCAGGGGAGGGCATGAAAGGTATCATGGTAATTGCGGGGTAAAATGTAAATGATATAAACAAAATCAGTCACCATATTGTCTAATGCAGGGGGCTGTGCCCCCTTTGACCACCCCTATGTGAGGCTATAGCCGACCCCTGCAACCTGCAGCGTGGCATACTTCCCCCAGGTCTTCTCGCCCTCACCATCAGCAGCTTCTCGACGACACATACCAAGACCTGATTGGTTGACCACAGACACCTCACGGCTCGCCTATTGGACCGCAGGCTCCACTCGTTCCCGGGTGGCTGACACAGCTCAGACCCACTTTAGCTCTGGCACCCGGAGCTGAGCAACAGAAGCAGCAGTAACAAGGCCTACCCAGGCCTTAGCCGTCGCGGGAGCCACCTTGGCTCTTCCCGTCAATCTCCAGCAACCCAGCCAGACCTGTGGGCACTCACACCCACACAAAAGCTCCTTAAAGAGATGATTGACACCAGACTATGGCGGATGCAAATCCATTGCCATACTGGTGACCCCGGAGTGACGCAAATGCCCAGCCTTCTGGAGTATCACGGTTATTGCTCGCTCGCTTAGCTCCCTCACTGGAGGGGGAGTACCTGTAGCCGATACCCGCAACCTGCAGCACGGCATACTTCCCCCAGGTTGGGTCCAGGTCCACAGCCTGTCCTCTCGCTCTCACCATCAGCAGCTTCTTGACGACGCATACCAAGACCTGATTGGTTGACCACGGACACCTCGCAGCTCGCCTATTGGACCGCAGGCTCCCCTCGTTCCCGGGTGGCTGGCACAGCTCAGACCAACTTTAGCTCTGGCACCCGGGCTGAGTTCAGCACTCACGATCCTCCAGCAGAGCAAGACACAGCAAGCAGTAACAAGGCCTACCCAGGCCTTAGCCGTCGGGGGAGCCGCCCTGGCTCTTCCCGTCAATCTCCAGCACCCCAGCCAGACCTGTGGGCACTCACACCCATACACAAAAGCTCCTTAAAGAGATGATTGACACCAGACTATGGCGGATGCAAATCCATGGCCATACTGGTGACCCCGGAGTGACACAAATGCCCAGCCTTCTGGAGTATCACGGTTATCGCTCGCTTGCTTAGCTCCCTCACTGGACCCCCGCAACCTGCAGCGCGGCATACTTCCCCCAGGTTGGGTCCAGGTCCACAGCCTGTCCTCTCACCCTCACCATCAGCAGCTTCTCGACGACGCATACCAAGACCTGATTAGTTGACCACGAACATCTCATGGGTCGCCTATTGGACCGCAGGCTCCCCTCATTCCCGGGTGGCTGGCACAGCTCAGCCATCGGGGGAGCTGCACCAGCTCTCCCCATCTATCTCCAGCACCCCAGCCAGACCTGTGGGCACTCACACCCACACACAAGAGCTCCTTAAAGAGATGATTGACACCGGACTATGGAGGATACAAATCCATTGCCATAAGGCTACCACCCCCCAAAAAGAATCCTCCACATATTCATGGCAGGTGCATGCATAAGACCCCCATGCAGGAGCAGTATTGCCAATTCTGTCTGATGCTCTCTCCTGCCATGAATACGTGGAGGATTCTTTGTTTTCCAGGGCAAGGGTTGGGGGGCTGATTCTGTGCATATCATTTAAATTTTACCCAACATAGATCATAAGGGTACATGAACAAACAAGGAACACACACACACACACACACTCACACACAAACAGAATCATCACATGTTCTATGAATCATCTTTTTTATTTGTGTATTAAATTCAAATTATATATATATATATATATATATATATATATATAATATATATATATATATATATTTAGAAACTAGACACTGAGAGGAATCCATCGATACTAGAATTGTCGTGATCTGTTAGGCAGACATATTCAAAAAAATTACAGTAAATTTACAGAGGATCAGGGTTACAGTAAAAAAAAAGTGTATGGAATGATCTACCCATCTTTTCTCACTCATCATGTTGACATCACAATGTAAACATTATAGCCCACTTAACTCATTCCTGTGACCTTTCAAATAGTTCATGTATTACTACACGCTTCTGAAGACAATTATTTTGTATATTTCAACTTCTGATTTTCTTAATTCACATATTTTATGCATTTCTTTATTTTTAGTAAACTTTTTTCTACATTTTGATAGTTTTACATTATTCTTTACAAAAAACTAATGTGCATTTGCACATTAGGTTTTCCACTGGGACTTTCAAAACCTCGTGACCGCCATTCTTCGACAAAACACCTATGGGGAATGTTTTGTTTTCAGTATTCTTTCCAGTCCTTGTAAAACAACATTTGTGGCTATGCATCTATTTGAACGAAATAAAGCTCACTATTGTGAGGTGTAGGCACCGAAGTGAGGAAGTACTTTGGTGCGCGACTGCGAACTACTTCAAAATATCCTCTGCGGAATATAGCGCTCAACATCACAAAGAACAAGATATAATAAAATCGAAACAAAATCTACTATTGCAGGGCATATCTTTGCGTCTCTCTTCAGTATTTGTCCATCATGCCTTCTAATCTCCGCCGGTTGCCCTTGTAAAACCAACTCTACTGTTGTTCTGAGTGGCAGGCTAGAAAAACATAAAATTTATACATGACCTTGAATAATTATTACTAAATGTTCTGGTCTTTATTTAGTGTGAGAGCGAACATGGTAATGTTCTTCCGACATAATGTTGCGAGGTAAAAAATAATAATTCACCATAACACTTGTGTATGGTGATAGTTCTCTAGGTTACCATCAGGACAAGTAGCAGAAGAGCGAAGATGAATGTTTTTTCCGCGCGCTGCTCCATTTGCGTCCCGCGAGACCCTACTAACGCACACTTTGGTTCACTTTCTTATTATCCTTCGTTTCTGCTGCGTGCACACCAAGGACTTTCTCGGGTCTCTCTTCTCTCTCGGTTGCGCCAAGATGCAATGTCTTCCCCCCTCGTAGCTCGTGAGTAGTTGGGGGCCAAGTAGTCACCCAACTTCAACCCTCCTTCTCTCAGTCAGCCATCATGGGTCGCTATGCCTAGCTCTACCCCCCCCTCTCTTCTTGTAACTCCATAGATCTGTTGAGCCTAAAATCTAGTGACATTCCACTAGGCTTTCTTGGCATCCTCTGCTTTACCCTGGTCACTGCGTACTCGATCTCTTGTTGCTTTTCTCCTGGGTAGCTGTACTGTTTACTCGTCTGATCTGTCTGTCTGTTCCGTAAAGCCTTGTCTTTGTTTCTTCTCGAGTCCTCTCTGTGTCTTCTCGCTTGTCACTCCCCCTCTCCGCGTAGACTTTCTCACATAGATCGGCAGACTAACATCATAGTTTCATTTTATGCTCAACTATCTATAGAGGCATCCTTTATTTTTTTTTTTTCTTGTTCGGCTGGTTATTATCATCACTACTCCTTCTGTACTCAACCTTCCCCCTTCTTCCATTCTTCTACCCTTGTTTAACCTTCCTGTCCATCATTTTCCCTCCTGATAAAACGTCATCGTCCTTCCTCGCCTGCTATCAGAACTTAAACAGATTCAACGATTGTCATCGCTCGTGACTTGCTCTATTGTGAAATTATCATACACGAATCATCTCTCTCGTAGGAAAGAAACCACGAGAATAAGATCTAATGACGGGTAATATTGGCGAATGTCGATTAGGCGTGCAAGGTAACATGAAAAATGTGAGCATAAATAAATATTAAAAACATTAACCAGGATATTTCCTAAACTTTTGTCCAAACTTAAGACACGCACCTCGGGAAGCGATTAACTCCCACTATACGTGAGAATTCATGTACATATTTATTATGTGTATCGTGTTCCGCGCATACTCTTTTGGAGCATTAGGCGAGACGAATTTTGGATGCGTATGTGGCGCATTTATCTCCTCCTTTCTCGCGG